CCACAGGACAGCTTCCACTCCTGTATCTTGCCCTCGAGCATGCCCCCCAGGCTGAGCGCGGGGATGTTCTGATCGGGCTGCGGCGGCGGAGCGACCGCCGCGTGCAGCTCTTGGATCGCCTCCCTGAAGGCCTCCGCGTGGTGGTCGATCCGGCCCAACAGGGCCTTGACCTTTTGCTCCTGCGTGCGCGCTTGGCCCTGCAGCTGCTCGGGTGCGCCCGGCTCGTTGGCAAGGCCTGGCTCGAGCTGCTTGATGCACTTGTGCGCCTAGTCCACCCTCACCTGAAGCGGCGCTTCCTGCTTGTCCTTGATGGCCAGCACCGGCTGGTAGTACTCAGCCATGCTGCCATTGTTGGTCATCGTTCGGAACTCAACGAATTACTTGATCTCGGCCACGGATGGATGTGGCACGGGATCTGCAGCTGCTTGCAGGAGACCGACGGGGCGCGGAGGGCCACGAACATCGCCGCCAACACCGCCGACACCGCCCAGGCCAGGAGGTGCCTCCACATCCTGGCCTTTGCCTTTTTACCTAACAGCTTTTGCTGATAGGTTTCTACTGGTGTCAAAAAAGAACAGCAGATGACTCCACAGGGGGGTCTGGGCGGGTGCCGGACAGGGTGCCGTAGAAGTCGTTTTAAGCCAACAGTCACACACTTCGTGCTCTTCGACCTCCCAGAACTCCACTCCCGGGCCACATTCTAAATGCCCAGAGCCAACTGTAGGCCACTTCGTGCTCTTCGACTTCCCAGAACTCCATTCCCGGGCCACATTTTGAATGCCCGGAGCCAACTGTAGGCCACTTCGTGGTCTTCGAGTCCCCAGAACTCCATTCCCGGGCCACATTTTGAATGCCCGGAGCCAACTGTAGGCCACTTCGTGCTCTTCGAGTTCCCAGAACTCCATTCCCGGGCCACATTTTGAATGCCCGGAGCCAACTGTAGGCCACTTCGTGCTCTTCGATTTCCCAGAACTCCATTCCCGGGCCACATTTTGGATGCCCGGAGCCAACTGTAGGCCACTTCGTGCTCTTCAAGTTCCCAGAACTCCATTCCTGGGCATGATTTTGAATGCCCGGAGCCAACTGTAGGCCACTTCGTGTTCTTCTAGTTCCCAGAACTCCATTCCTGGGCCACATTTTGAATGCTGAGGCAGGCTGATGCTGCGGCCGAGGCAGGCTGAGGCTGAGGCAGGCTGAGGCTGAGGCCGAGGCTGAAGGCAGACTGAGGCTGAGGCTGAAGCAGACTGAGGCTGAGGCTGAGGCAGGCTGAGGCTGAGGCTGAGGCAGGCTGATGCTGAGGCAGGCTGAGGCTGAGGCTGAGGCTGATGCAGGCTGAGGCTGAGGCAGGCTGAGGCTGAGGCCGAGGCTGAAGGCAGACTGAGGCTGAGGCTGAAGCAGGCTGAGGCTGAGGCTGAGGCAGGCTGAGGCTGAGGCAGGCTGAGGCTGAGGCTGAGGCAGGCTGAGGCTGAGGCTGTGACTGCGACTGCCGTTGCCGCTGCGACTGTCATCGCGAATGCGACTACGACTGCGAGAACAGCAGAATTCTACAACTGGATTTTCATCTGAATCTTAAGGGGAATGCTTTCAGATATGCTTCTACACATCGCTGTTAGGTTGCTTTGCCGGGATAATTTTGTTGGGGGGGGCTTGCCCGTCTTCCACTGGCGGCGACAATGCTTGCACGACACCTCCGCCATCAGGGTCTTTCCACATCCATAGTGGCTACATTTCCAGACTGGCGCGTCACGCCAGCCGCCTGGCACCGCGCGGCTTCCAGACACAGTGGAAGCAAATTGGCGGGTGATCTCGCAAGATTAGGGCCCACACCCTAGGCTTAGGTCGGGCATGTCCCTCTACTGGGGGATTTTGGCAGAAAAACTCAGAATACCACAAAACATACCCCAACATAGCCGAAACATGCTCGGAACAATCGTTCCCAGGCGATTTGCTTGAAACCATGTTTGAATCCGCCGATCCGGCGTGTGAGTTTCAAGGAGTCTCAGCTACAGCCTCGAGGCTGAGCTTCAGCCTCTGGGGGGGTCGCCGGGGTGGCTCTGCCGGGGAAGGGGGGGTGGGGTGGGGGGGGGGGGGGTGCGAGTTTCCGGCGAACCCCGGGGCCGCTCCGGGGGAGTGGAAGATAGGGGGGGGGGGGGCGCCATGCTCCGCTTTTTCCGGCGCTTTGGAGGAGGGGGGGGGCCCAAGAGACCCCCAAGGGGTTCCAAGAGGGCCCCGAGTCGCCGAAAAATCGCTCCAAGACGCCCGAGATGGCCTCCAGACGGCCCAAGGTGTCTCCAAGACGCCCCAAGAAGCTTCCAAGAGGCCTCCCAAGAGGGCCCCAAGAGGCCAGAATCGTTGATTTTCATTGGTTTTCTCAGGGTTTTTAGCGTTCTTGCCTTTTCGGGCGTCCGACGCTCGAAGACGGCCCAAGAGGCCCCCAAGTCCGTCCCAAGACGGCCCACGATGCTTCCAACACGGCCCAAGAGAGCCCCAAGACGGCCCAAGAGGGCCCCAAGACGGCCCAAGAGGGCCTCTGGACAGCCCAAGAAGGCCCCAAGAGAGCCCCAAGAGGGGCCCAAGAGGGGGACCACGAACCGAAAGAACCGAGCTTTCCGCCCCAAGAGGCCCCCAGGAGGCCCCAAGAGACCCCCAAGGGGCCCCAAGAAGCCCACAAGAGGCCCAAAAGAGGTTCCAAGAGGCCCCAAAACAGCTCCCCAGAGGCCTCCAGACTGCCTCCGGCAGGCCCCCGGTTTCTTCCGCGGCACCGCCCAGGGCGCCACCGGCAGGATGTCCTCCGTCTCATCGTTTTCCTTCAAGTTATCGCCTCTTCCTCATTCTCCTCCTCCTCCTCTGCGACCTCACTCCTATCCCTCAACGATCGCGTCACCGAGTGCCTCTTCTTTGAAACATCCTCGCTCTTCAAACGCACATCCATACACACATGCATACATACCTACATTTAAACACATTTGCATACATAGAAAAACAATCTTCCAGACATACATACTTACATTCACACACATACACACATATTATCATACACACATACAAACATACATACAAACTAAATACATACATACGCGCACAAGCATACATACATACATACGTACCTACACACAGGCACACATGATCAATGCATGCATACATGCATGCACGCGTACATACACACACATATATCGTGAAACTCACCGCGTGCTCGAAACTTGAGAGAGACCGCGGGAAGTCGAGAGAAGCCGCGGAACGAGGCCTCTACTACTACTACCACTACTACCACAACCACTACTACTACTACTACTACCACTACTACTACTACTACTACTACTACTACTGCTACTACTACTACTACTACTACTACTAACTAATACTACTACTAGTACTACAGGAGCGTTTCCCAACTAGTATGTGTGTGTGGGTGATGCTGTGTGCGCATGTCTGCGGCGCAGGTTAAGTGGTGTGACTGTGTGTGTGCGTTTGAGTGTGCGCCCATAATTTCTGCGTCTGGAGAATAACCCCGAGCGACCCGGATCGGCGGCACTGGCCGAAGGCCACTACAATATCCCTTCTGTAGAGGGAGAGGCCCGACTTAACCCTCGGCGGGGCTGCTGATCGGGGTCGTGCGTGTCCCTCGACCAGCTTGATGCCCCCAGCCCCGGGAAGGCGGAGGCCTCGGGCAAAGGCTTGAGCCAAATGGCTGCGGACCCCCCCCTGCTCCTCCTCCTCCCCCTCCTGTCGGCGGCGACGATAAGGGCGAACAGCCCGGGGGAGGGGTCATTACACGTATTCGCCCGGGAGCCTTGTCGAAGATATAGATCCTCGGCGCCCCCTGGATACATCTACTGCAGGTCCATGCCGTGTCGACCCTGGCGTTGGTTCCTGACACCGCGCTGGATCGTTCAGCCTTGAACAATCGGCCGTCTCCGCAGCGTCCGATCGTTCAACGTCGATCGATTCTGGGTCGCCAGCGGTGTTCAACGTTGAACGTCGGCGGCGGGGTCGCCGCCGGTCGACACGACGCGAACCTACCGTACATCTATTGCTCTCCCCTGGGCTATTCGCCTCTGTCGTCGCCTCCGATCCTGCTCCTGATCCGCCGCCCCTCGTCCCGGCGGCGCGCAGAAGGAGGCAGGGAGAGTAGAGCGGCCTTCGAAAAAGGCACCCCGACTCTTGCAGGCCTCCTGATGCCCTCCTCTCGGGTCGGGCGAAAAGGGGGGATAGCAAAGGGGGGGTTTGAGAATCAGCTCTCGTAGCTGATTTTCCCGGCGCCTCCCGGCGCCGGAGGCGGCTATGTATCGAGGAATGGGCCCGGCGGCGGGGCAGAAACCAGCTGCATGCAGCAGATTTCGTACCCCCCCCTTTCCCAATCCCCCCCTTTCGCCCGGCCCGATCCTCGCCTAACCCCAATTCCTTGCGGCCGCTCGGACGTCCATCCCCCGTGCATTTGTCGGTCTCGTGCGTGCTTTTCCCTCGATGGTCCGGGATGCTCCTCGCTGGGTCCCGCCGAGAAAAGATGCACAGCTCCGACCCCGAGCGATGCCAAGCTTCTGCGCGCCGCGAGTCTTCGTCGCCCTCTTTCTTCGACGCGCCGTCGGGCCGCACTGGCCCGTGGCGCCCGCGAGCGCGGGCAGCCTCGTGCAGCCAGGGCCCGCGCTGGACGCGGGCAGCAAAGGACGGCCCCTAAAACGTAGCCCAGATTTAGTAATAAAGGGAGGGGGGGTCTCATTTCGGGGGGGGGTCTCTTCCAGGCTATCTTGGAGGGCCTGGGGGGGGTCTGGGGACGATGTTCTGGAGGGTTCTCCCACGGGGGGGGGGTCTGAAATGGCTTGTCTTGGAGGGTCCAGACCCCTCCCTTTTATTACGAAATCTGGAGTAGCCCAGGCCCTGCCGCAGGGCGGCGGAAGGGCACGGGGTCGAGTGCTCCAGGGAGGCGAGGGCAGAGACTGCGACCTGGCCCCACGGCCTCGTCGTCCTCCTCCCCGGTCCCCCCGATTCCGTCCTCCGCGGTCCTCGAGGTCGCCCTGCTTCCTCTCGCCGGTGGTGATCTCGTTGCGCTTGTTGCTCGCTGCGTCGTCGCACCTCGGTGCCCTGCCGCTCGCCCACTCGCAGCCCCCGTGTGCCCGCGTGGGAGGGGATCAGGCGGGTGCCAAAGAGAGGGGAGGATCGAGGATCGAGGCGTTCGAGTGAGTCGTCTCTTTAGCAGCCTCGGGAAGCCTCTGGGGATCTTTGTCGGCCTCGAGTATCCTCCCCAGCACGTCCAGGGACCTCCTGAAGGGGGGGGATACTCGAGGCCGACAGAGATCGGCAGAGGAGGGGAGGGAGGAGGGGAGGAGACTGCAGGAGGAGGAGGGGAGGAGGGAGGAGGAGGAGGGGAGGGAGGAGGGGAGGCAGTATGACCTCCTGAAGGGGGGGAGGGGCAGGACGAAGAGTGCATGCCGTGAGGCCGGCGGTCGGCAGGTGGCGCCCGGGCCGCAAGCTGCTGCTGCCGCCGGTGCCGCCGCTGCCGCCGCTCGTCTGACGTCCAGGCCTCGGAAGAAATCGGCGAACATCGGCCATGGACAGACCTCCCCATAGTAAACCTCCCTTCAGTTTTTTTTCATCGCCACAGAGGCATCGACACAGGTCAATACGCATGCACAGGTCTATTCCGCCACGTGCTGGGCTACGTCCACGGCCCGCGCTGCCGCTGCCGCGCCTGGCTCATGCACGCTGCCTTGCACGTACCTTGAGCGGGTGCACACGCACAGACATGCACAAGGATGCACCGAGGCCACCGACTTTAGTAAACCTCCCTTTAGTGAAAACGACCTGGGACCGAAACCGACGGACCTGGACCCGCAAAAACGACGGCCGCGACGCCCTCTCGCGAGCCGAAAACGGCCAATGCGCCAATCGACGTGTCAGGGTAGGAGGTCTGTCCACCCTCGAGAACATCCATGCCAAGACCCCCCCCCAAGATCACCATTGCCGGCAGGTTTCATGAGCTGCACGTCGGCCGCAGTGTTTCTCTCTCTCGCGCGCGTGCCAGCTTGGGATTCGGGGGAGAGGGGGGGGGCCCACTCATTCTTTCCCTCTGCCGCCTCGCTGCGCTCTCAGCCCCTCTTGCAGCCGTGCGCACCACGCCACGGCACGGCCAAGCGGGGGCGGCGCCCTTACGAATAGGTCGGGCATGTCCCCCTCTACAGGGGGATTTTTGACGAAAAATGAGCAATAGGCACAAAATACTCAAGCAATGCTCAAAAATAGTCAAAACATCGTCCCCAGACTTTTTTGAAAACCATTTTTGAACATCCCTCCTGGGGAGGGACAGGCCCGACGTAACCTTACGGGGGCGACGGCGAAAGCAGACGGGGCGGGCGTCGGGCGGTCGGCGGGGTTGTGCGGACCTTCCTCTAGGAGGCGTACGGCGCTCCGGTCCTCCTCTTTCTCCTACTCCTCCTCCTCCTCCTCCTCCTCCTCCTCCTCCTCCTCCTCCTCCTCCTCCTCCTTCCTGTAGAGGCGTACAGCGCTCGGGGTCAGTCGCGACGCGCGGGCGCAGCCACGCGGTGCCTGGCTCCCATCGCTCCGCTGACGCGGTGCCACGAGGGCACAGCGGAGCGGGCCGCCGTTTTCTTTTTTATTGTTTTTTTGTTTTTCGGCGGCTCTGGAACTAAGCTGTAAGCGACAGGCTCGCGCCCTTGCGACGCCCACCTTGAGCGATCTGTGTCGGGCCTAAGGGGAGCAAGTGGGGAGCGGGTCAAGGCTTGCGGCCTTCCGAAGGTGAACTCTGTGGCTTGAAGCTGTTGCTGACGGCACGGTAGCATGTAGTATCGGCGCAAGTATCCTGATGCACATCGGGTACAGATGCACCGCTGTCCATGTGGATGACCGTGCATGGGGCAGGGAGGGAACACCACATCGGTGTGGTTCGCTTCATCTTGCTTGATACCTTTGCCACACTCCTGAACGAAACACCCGACGATCGGGGTCCACAATAAGCTAGTCGAGTCAACCTGCCAGAGAAAACTAGTGCTAGACCTTGTCTGGGGAGCTTCCGCATGGAAACGCCCTGGCATGCTCTCTAGGTCTGGGCGAAGGGCATAGCGCGGCTTCCCAGCAAGATGTAACACGAACCCAGCGTTCCACAATGCCACCCCATACCTGCCGTCGATCTGCTGGTTGGCCATCGCACTGACCCTCTCGACGTCGTAACGTAAGTCAACCAGTGGCCACCAGTTTCCATCACTACACGTAAGTCGGGCCTGTCCCCCTACAGGCCGATTTTGGACGGACAAAAAAAAACAGAACATTCACTAAACATGATCAAACATGTTCAAACAATGGTCCCCAGACTATGTTTTACTATTTTCGAAGATCTTGCCTGTAGAGGGACAGGCCCGTTTTAACACTACACCCCGCAGGATGCGCCGCCGAATCCGCGGCTCCAGGGGGAGGGGCCTCCGACAGCGGACTGCTGGCACCCCTCCGGCCACGTCTTCGTCCGCGGGTGGGGATTGGGCCCCCACGGCCAACAAAAAACTCGGACATGTGAAGCAGGGCTGAACCTAAACGGTGTTATTCGCTTTCGTTTTGTTCTCGTTTTCCCTCGCCTTTGTCTCGAATCCACCTTTGCCGCAAAACGAAATCGAAACGAAAACGGCCCGCGAAATCACGCAAAACACCGTTTAGGTCCAGGTCCAGCCCTGATGTGAAGCTCAGAAGCCGGGCGAAGGCTGGCAGACCCGTGGCTGCTAAAACGGAGCTCCGGGAACTTGCTTCTTCTCTTCCAGGAAGCAGGCCTGCTTACTACTTGTAATGCGCAAAACGTTCTTTCTGGAACATGTTTTTTTCTTCCGGGAAGACCGTGTTTTAGCAGCCACGGATTCGCCAGGCCTCGCCCAGCTTCCGAACGAAACACTGAGTCAGGACTCTCGTTGCCGTAATCGCCCCTTGGAGCTCGTGTGATCGCGAGACGATCACCCAGGACTCCCCGCGCCCCTTGCTAGTGGCCGGGGGTCCCTTGGACGTGGTCGCCATCAGGGCCGCCGCGAACTATCTCCGCGCCTGATCATAGTCGCTCCAAGACAGCCCGCGGAAACCCAACACGATGCCCCAGGACCCCATCAAGACCCTGAGGACACCCGAGGCCCACCCAACACCTAACAAACAAGCCCCACGGTTCCTGACAGGTCCCCAGCAAGTCCCAACGGGTCGAACAGGCCCACCATGTGCTCTCGAGGGGCTTTCCAGCTGGCCGCTGAGAGACCAAGAACTGTTAAACCAATGGTTCAAAACAATTGTCTCACCATCCATCCCTGGAAGCCCCAATGTCGCCTGCTTTCGTACAGTCCCACGACACCCTTGCCTACCTCGCGCTGTCCATACTCTTCGATGTCGATGAATGACGACGTCAACGAACTTCCCTCTTTGCACACCGTTCAGCTCACTGCTGGTGGCTGGCTCGACTTTTGTGTTCAGACGCTGGCCAATGCGCATAAACCGCTCGTCATAACTGCCACTTCGAGTTAACATCCCAGCTTGCATGCGGGCAGCTGCAATGCGCAAAGCGTTTGAGCAGTTCGGGCCAGCGCGTCTAGTGTATTCAATTCGAGGGGTCAGCGTACCGAAATCAAACGACGGACAGATGCTTGTTTTGATGCCCCGGTCGACGCTGGTCGACGAATCGCACTTGAAGCTCTGCCTACATGCAACGAGGAAAACATGTCAAGGTCACGCTGCACCTAGCGTGCATTGATTTGACGCTGCAAGCCTCGGAAGCTCAAATAAGCAGAAACCAAGACACCATATCTTGGCTTCTTTGTGCTGCAACTCACACGCCACATCTCATGAGACGAATGCCCTCATCGCACCAGCGCGCACACGCCTATAATGAGAGCAACGTAGAAAACATGCAAATGCTTCACTGGCTCTGAACCGCTTGGCACAGAACTACACGACTGCGGGAACACGAGCAGAGCCTCGTGGATGGGGCTCAGGACGGCGGCATCGGCCCCGGTCCTGACGAGCACCACTTGGCTCTCCAAGCCCGAGATGTCCAAACGTTGTGACGCAACTGGAAAACCGTCAGCGCCTCCGATCTCCACTCTGTACCGCCCGTCTCGGATAGCTACAACCGTGTCGTTGTTAAGCTCCTCTCGGCGGCTGCCTCGGTGCGGCAGCCCCTCTTCGGTGATGAACAGCGCGTGCTTCGGAGTGCCGTCGAAGGCATCAACGACGGCAAGCTGAGAATGGCCCGTCTTTGCGAAGGTGTGGGTGACGAAAGATGCTGGAGGTTTGGAAATGAACACCAACACTAACACACGGGGTTGCCTCCACCGAGGGAAGATGATCCTGGATTCCGCGGCTAGTGGAGATATTTTGGCTGCATGGGGAGCCCGAGCATTAACACTATCACCGAAATTGGGATCGTCTTCCCTCGGTGGAGACACTAGAGGCCTTCTGGATGGGGTCCGAGTAGATGGGGTCGGAGGATCGCGCCGCATCGCCGATGCATCGCCGATGCATCAGCAATGCATTGGCGATGCATCGGCGACGCCGGCGACGCATAGGCGACGTCGGCATGGATGACATCGGGCCTCGCATCGAGCCGCATCGCCGACACGTCGGGGATGCGGCGCGACCCTCCGACTTTATCTGCTCCGACCCCATCTGGGAGGCCTAGAATTAGGTCGGGCATGTCCTCTTACAGACGGATTTTGAACGACAAATGAAACATAGTCCAAACATGCTCAAACATAATCAAGACTTGACAACATAGTCGAACATAGTAGAAACAACGTCCCCAGACTATGTTTTACCACTATTCTTGAGTATTCCTCCTGTAGAGGGATGCGCCCGACTTACGCCTAGAGTTGTGGATGCCATGACAATGGACACTCTAACAATCCGATCATTGAACTAAAGATGTGTTTAACATCTGTGAAACATGTTCTAAACATGTTTCAAACATGTGTTGTACGTATTTAAAACATGTTTGACACATCTTTTAGACATCTGGCAATTATTTGGCAGCATGTTTCCTGTCCATTAATCTACTTCCACAATGCTGGTGCCCAACTCTGGGCCTCCGAGGATGCCGC